CTTAGGACGTCCCTATTTTCAGGGGAGAAATGTTGGAGGGGATAGAATAGGACATCCCTATTTTCAGGGGAGAAACGTTGGAGGGGATGGAATAGGACGTCCCTATTTTCAGGGGAGAAACGTTGGAGGGGATGGAATAGGACGTCCCTATTTTCAGGGGAGAAACGTTGGAGGGGATGGAATAGGACGTCCCTATTTTCCTCCTGTTTCTCGGTTTGTCGGAATTATTTCATATTTCGTAAGATGCTGAGCCTTTGCCCCGGACTGGCGTATGTCTTACTACGGACTTGTTTGGCTGCATCAGTTGATGTCTCTTTCGAAGGACGTTCTGTAGGTAAAGTTTTGCATAATATCTAACGGGTCCGGACGATGCTTCCTTTCCAAAAGGAGCCGGTTTTAGGCATCCCTTGCAATATTAATAAATGCAAGAGACACGGCATAAAAGGAATGTGATTTGGGAGGGAAGAGGAAATACGAAAGCACAGGCACTTCAGAGATAGACTGCTTCTGAACTTGGAGGCTGCATTTAGCATCCTAGCCGACGGAGATGAAGATAATTCTTGAATTTTGTCTCACCTGCGGTGGATTTGCGCCCACCAGGCCCCCCCAAGCCCCACCCCTAACTGCCTAGCTCCACCCCTCGACCCTTCAAGGCACCGCCCCTTTCACTCCCCTTGCATTGTGGGGGGAATGGGGTTTTCCACTGCGTTCCGACAAGAGAAAAGCTCTTTTTCATCCCCTATTTGGAGAGAAAGGAGTTAAAAGGGGGAAAGGAGGTTAATAAATGAGCTATTAATCTGGCAGTGGTAGTGAGTAAAGATTTCAAGTGGGAAACACGCTAAGTCTGCAGGATTCTTCGCATTTCTGCCTCTTTTATTTGCCCCAGAAGTCCTTTAAGAGAAAGGAAGGATGTAGCAAACAAGAGAGAGATTGGCTGAGTTGTCACGCCACAAAGTCAGATGTTTCTTTCTAATAGCCAAGAGTTTTGCGAGGGCCACGATTCCTGGTCTCATCGAACACAGCGGGTCTTACTCCCGAGTAAACGCCGCAACCGTGAAATGAGAAATGCAAGTTTGCCCTATGTGGAGCGAAGCGCCGTACTTTCAAAGCACGTTTCCCACCCCATCCCGAAGAACCAGTTTGCTAAGGGCGCCGGGAGTTGTAGCATCGCAACTATAACTCCCAGAGCTCGTGGGTGCGGGGGCTTTTTATGTATGTTGCGCACGCAGCCAGGGCACAATTGGGGCAGACCCATATGGTGCCAAAACAACCCCCCTCCGGAGAATTCTGGGAACTGTAGTTTAAGGGGGCGGGTGGGGAACTTCAGTTCCAGGAACTTTTTCAGGGGGAAAGTCATGTGATAGGCTTCAAATGTACAGTGGTACCTCGGGTTACATACGCTTCAGGTTACGTACGCTTCAGGTTACAGACTCCGCTAACCCAGAAATAGTGCTTCAGGTTAAGAACTTTGCTTCAGGATGAGAACAGAAATCGCTTCGCGGCAGCAGGATGAAGATGTTTTTCAGCTTTTTTTGGCAGATCTCTCCCTACAATCCCTCATAAAAATGCTTCAGGTTTTTAAACAAATGTTAAGTGGAACATTTTCTTCAATTCGTTGTATATCATTTCCCAAATTTTTAAAATTACTTTACAATCCCACCACCTATGATAAAATGTCCCCTCCTTTTCCTTACACTTCCAACATATATCTGAACTAGTTTTGTACTTTTTCCCTAACTGCACTGTTGTCGTGTACCATCTCCATGTAATTCTCCTTCAATAGGGAACAATCTGTAAATTTTAAATCGGTTTTCCATAATTTTTCCCAATCTTCCAATGTTATGACCCACATCTTGCGCCCATTTAATCATAACTGATTTTACCTCTTCATCGTTTGTCTCCCATTCTAATATTAAATCTTTATTTTGGAAGCAGGGGGGTGGTTCCTCTTTTGAGGCCTGGCTAAAGAGAATAACTCGGCTGGGAGGTTTCCCTCCTCGTCCGAGATTTCTGCCGCTTGGTGTGGGATGGGTGATTCATCCGGCGAAAGGCCGAGAGGGGAGAAAATAGCCACTAACACACATTCCCGGCAGCTGGGTGACTCAGTGGGTGTGTGTTGCACCAAACCGGCCCCCCCAGGATAAACCGTGCACAAGCGGTTTTTGCAAAAAAAGGAGGGAGACTGTCATTGCCTGACCTTACAAACAATTGTCTGCCCGCCTCGCACCAAATTTTACTCCCTTTTCTTCCTGGAAATTTGCTCATTGTCGTTCAAGCCGTTTTTTCTCGCTTTGGGTTCCTTGCAGACTGCAAATCCAGCTTTCTGGCCTAGCTGCGTTTACTCGGCAAAGGTGTGTGTGTGTGTGTGTGTGTGTGTGTGTGTGTGTAGAACTCTGTTCATGCTCAGAAGCACCCTGGAAAGTGAGGATGGGGAAAGGCTGTCGCTCAGACCTTTGGCCTGTGGAGGATGCCAGGTTTAAGGGGACGAGAGAGACAGAGACCCTGGTCTGGAAGTTTGAGACAGGTGGACCGACGATCTTATTCGGTGCAAGGCAAGAGTCCTTCATTCAGAATCATGTTGTTGTTTAGTCGTTTAGTCGTGTCTGCCTCTTCGTGACCCCCTGGACCAGAGCACGCCAGGCCCTCCTGTCTTCCACTGCCTCCCACAGCTTGGTCAAACTCATGTTCATAGCTTCGAGAACACTGTCCCACCATCTCGTCCTCCATCGTCCCCTTCTCCTTGTGCCCTCCATCTTTCCCAACATCAGGGTCTTTTCCAGGGAGTCTTCTCTTCTCAGGAGGTGGCCAAAGTCTTGGAGCCTCAGCTTCAGGATCTGTCCTTCCCGTTAGCACTCAGGGCTGATTTCCTTCCGAATGGAGAGGTTTGTTCTTCTTGCAGTGCATGGGACTCTCAAGAGTCTCCTCCAGCACCAGAATTCAAAAACATCCCTTCTTCGGCGATCAGCCTTCTTGATGGTCCAGCTCTCACTTCCATACATCACTACTGGGAAAACCAGAGCTTGAACTAGACGGACCTTTGTTGGCAAGGTGATGTCTCTGCTTTTTAAGATGCTGTCTAGGTTTGCCATCGCTTTTCTCCCAAGAAGCAGGTGTCTTTTACGGTAATTTCGTGACTGCTGTCACCATCCGCAGTGATGCAGGCGCCACCACCGAGAAGGCCTTCTGCCTGGTTCCCTGTATCCTCGCTTCTTGCAGGGAGGGAACCACCAGAAGGCCCTCGGGAGATGGACCCAGGTGTCCTGGCTGGATGATGGGAGTGGAGACGCTCCTTCAGGGATACTGGGCTGTTTAGGGCTTTCACGGTCAGCACCAACACTTTGAATTGTGCTCGGAAACGTCCTGGGAGCCAATGTAGGTTCTTCAGGACCGGTGTTATGTGGTCTCGGCGGCCGCTCCCAGTCACCAGTCTGGCTGCCGCATGTTCTCCCAGTGGCCAACTAGTTGCCGCAATGGGGAAACCAAAAGCGGGATTTGAAACGAGAGCAACTCTCCCTGCCTGTGGTTTCCAGCAAATGAGATTTGGAAGCAGAATAGCTTTCTTTCAAACAAAAAACAAACAAAAAAACCCCACCGTTTGAAAATATATATGGAATTTGGCCTTAGCTCATCAGCGCCATCTAGTGTCACATTTGTATAATGCATTTACAACACAATTAAAATGTTATATAGGATATTCCTCGCAGACCAGTTAAGTTCCTTGGCATAAACAGGGAGCATTTCCTACGCCTCATAGAATTGTAGAGTTTGAAGGGACCCCGTGGGTCATCTATCCCAACCCTGCAGGAATTGCAGGACTTGAACCCAGAACCCTGAGATTAAGTGTCTCGTGCTCTACCGACTCAATGACAGATCTCTCTGTGTGATTCTAAAAGCCAACTTTATCTGCATTTTTTTTTTTTTAATGGGGCAGGTTTCCTGAGGTTAGCAACTGATATGTGGAGGCAGAAGGTTTTCAGGGAGAGAGGGAAACCGAAGCAATTTGCAACCTTTTAACTTACTCAGAACTCTTCGTCCAGCCCTGTGCTACTCAAAGGCTGACAAAGTTGAATCTGCCCCAATTAGAGAGAGAGAGAGAGAGAGAGAGAGATGGAGAAGGAGGAGCTCACCCATTCCAGGAACCTCTGGGGTGTGTGTAGATTTCAAGTTCAACACAGAATTGTCCTGAATACTGGAAGAAGAAAAAACCACCCATTTCACCCTGAGATATTCTTTTTCTTGACCTATCAATTTTGGGGGTGCTTGTTGACGGACAGGTCTCTCAGGTTAGCTATATGGAAGCAGAATAAGGGGTTTGGGTGGGGGGTTTGGCGGAAAAGAGGAAGGAAGCCAAACCACTTTGCAAGCTTTTAAAGTCACACAGAACTCTTCAGCAACGCCCGTGGCGGAGCCCTGCGCAACCCTAAAGCCTGCACAGTTGAGTGAGCCCCATGAAAAGAAAAAAAGAAAAATCAAGTTTAGACATACCAAAAAACAACAACACACGAGCGCACGTTTTCGCCCTGCGCTGGAAAGCTTATTCGAACTGCATTGGCACGCGAATAAACCCAGGCGTCCGGTTCCTCTGTCTTGCTGAGGTCAGAGGGGGTTTCAGGGGGTTGCAAGACTGGACTGCGCCCCCCCCTCCAGTATTACTCACCTCAGCCATTGCGCGGAGGAGAAAACGGGGGTGTTTGCGCACGAGAGAGAGAAAGACCTTTTTCCCCTTTCGAGATTTCTTTCCCAGCTCCCCAAGAAAGAAATGATTTTCCTTACAAAAGAAAGCAGTTTTCAATAGATGAGCCAAAAGGATTAGGGCGGGGCGGGGGGAGTTGAGTAGGTATTTATTGCCCTGAGTCAGAAATGATCTTCTCAGCTTGCTGATTGAGCAACAGCCAAGATTAAAAAAAAAAGAAAAAGAGGTGGTTTTTTTGCGGGAGGAGAAAAAGGGGTTTAGGGTGGGGAGATTTTGAGAGAGAGACGCCCCTCTTTGCAAAAAGATGGGACGCGTCTCCAGGAGGGTCTCTCGCCTTGCAGGTCCGTTTCAGAAAAGGACTTGCTAATTTCAACTTCATTGACTCTCCCCGCCACCCAAAAAAATAATAAAAAGCCCAGAGGGGCGTGGATGGGCGGGGTGTAAAAAGCGCATTAAGGAACTTGTCAAGTTGAACTGTTCAGACTTGCTTAGGAAATCTCTTGTTTGTCGCTCCCTAATTTTCTCCTCTTTTTTTGGAGGAAAAAAGTTTTGGGGGCAGGAAAAAAAACCCTTATCTATCTAGCTGCGCTTTTTTTTTTTTTAAGAAGCAACTCTCAGAGAAGAATAAGAGAAGGGACTGGTTTTCTTCCTCCCATTTCATTTTATATATATAGGTTTTTTTTTAAAATGTTCTGCATCATGAGCAAAGTATTTGTTCTGTGCCTGTGGATTCTCCTCCGAGTGGATTCCCTGATGTGTGAGTACAACCCTCCGGAATCTCTCCTGCGTAATTTCTAATCTATCTTTTCGTTTATTTTATTCCTGGTGGGCAGATGGGCGCCTGGCGCAGCCGGAATTGCAATAGATGGGGGAATTAAGAAGTTGGGCGCCCGGAGGCGACGGTGATGGGCGCGTTTGTTTTTCTTTTCTCTGCGGAGCGGGGGCACAGGAAACCGTGGCTATTTAAATACTTTTTTAAAAGCAGCTTCTTCCACTTAAGAAACAAATAGATGCCCAACGGTCTTCTTTGGGAACGTGTGTCCTTATTTTTATTTGAGAGGGACACTGCGTTGTCCAGCTTGGGAAGGAGAAAAAAGGCTAATATCAGCCTTTATAATACCTGTTTTTAACAAGAAAATTGATTATTATTTTTTGTTGTGGAGAGCTGGAGGGATGAATCTAAGCCGTGCCAGGCAAAAAGTCCCATAAATAAGGGATTGGAAGGGAAAGCGCCACCGGGAGTTTCGAAGCGCAGTGATTTTCTCTCTGCGTGAGAGAGAAAGCGCAATTTTTAAAGATCTTCTCCCTGTCTCTCCTTTAAAACGCCTAGGGATTAATTCCTTCCCCACCCCGGCTCCGAATCTCCCTTCCTCTCTCCTCCTTCCTCCTCCTCCTTCACTCCCTCTCTCAAAAATTATAAACCACCTTTCAGGGTAACTGCGCGTGGCAAAGTTAGGCGTGCGTTTCTGAGGTTGGGTGGGCATTGATTTAGGAAAAAAGGGGGTGTTTCAATGTGGGGAGGGGGTCTGCCAAATCTAGGACCACCTTCCCCATCTCTTCCACAAGCCCCCTCAGTGCTTGAATCTGATCTTCACCTCCAAAGACTCCACATCTCCGCTGTTCCAGCAGAGTTTGCTTTCTTGCTTGGTTTGTTTATTTTTTTTATTTACCAGCACGGAATCCTCTCCCCCGCACACTCCCCCCCTTCCCCCAAAAATGCATTAAAAATAAATAAACCTAAGCATGCCAGTGGTTGGAAAAACCGGTAGGGAGGGGGGCATATTGAAAGACACACACCCCCTCTCCTTTGCGTCTTTGTCCTCGTCAGGAAATTCACTTGCGTTAAGAGGAAAGGAAAGTGAGGTCTTCCTTAATTGAGCTGTGCAGGCTGTTGGTGGCCAAGACAGGCCAGAGGTTTTGTGTGTTTGTGTTTTGTGTGTGTGTACACACACACACACGAATTGTTTCATTTATTATTTTTAACCCTTTGGGAGAGGAGGTGGAGGGAGAAAGGATAGCACCAAAAATTGTGTGTGTGTGTCAAAGCCAGACAACAAAGGGAGTGGAGTTAAGCCGTCCCTCTTTTTAAACCAGGTGATGAAAACGGTCTGTTTTTCACACACCAGAAAGTGTCAGGATAGGGACCCGCAAGCTGGTGCCCCAAACCTCAGAATCAAACCTGTTGCATGTTCCTGAATAATGACCTCAGTCCTCATGTACTATTGGAGATAAATTTCTCTCCCTGATTATTTTTGGGTTGGGGGAAAGAGTATCTAAAAACCCGAAACCCAACCCGCCCTCGTTACAACCCAGAAATAGCGAATATTCTTCTTTTTTCCTTAAACCTGCTGTTTTTAAGCAATCGCCTTCCGCTTTGCGATTCATCTTCTCTCTCCCCTTTTCCGGTAAGAATAAAATTCCTTCGTGCAACCTTCCTATATATAGTTTCTGCCAGTCACAAAACCCCTGCAAAAGGCACGTCCCAGACCTGTTCTTTATTCCTGTATAAGCGTGTGTTAAAAAATCCATATAATAGTACCCCAAAAAAACCAGTATTTTTTCAGGGAGGGGGGCAGGAACTTGGAATGGAAGGTGGAAAATTGGCATCCACTTTTGAGGCCGGATCAAAATGGTTAATCACTCTGGATAATTTTATTGCAGTCCATCAGAAGAGAACAATTCCCTCTCCCAAACCCAGAACTTCCCAAAGCGATAATGACTAATGCACATTAAATCCTGGGCCAATCCTACCCTGCAATTTACCGCACACCCTCCAGAAGCCTTAGAGTATAAGAGTAAAAATCTACGCACCCGCCAAAGAATTCAAAGCCCCATAGAATCCCACAGGACTGAGATCTCTTGCTTTCTGTATCTCTCATATAATCCCCCAGACAGATCTCTAGGGGCAGCAAACTGCTGCTTCACTCTGGATTTATCATTTTTATACCTGAAACACTTATTTCAGCGTTGCGTGCTTATAGAGAGACCTTTCGTCAAACCTCGCAGATCACCTGGGGCCAAAGTTTGTAGCAAAAAATGTCCTGTTTAAAAATATATATTCTGCACCTCACTTTAATAATAATAATAATAATAGCAATCCACACACCTCACCTTGCAATTCCCCACAGAGAGGGCAATTCTTTGCTTCCAGAATAATGATATAATTTTCCGGTAATGTGAGAGAATCAGTCTTCTTACTGCATAGCGGACGGTGCGAGATAATCCACTGGATCCCCTAGGTTCAAAGTAGTGGAGAATCTCTGTCCGCTCTTTGCTGTCCATGAAACATATATATTTATTGTTTGTTTGGGGGGGTCATTGGCGTACGTACGCAATGATTTACAGTAGTATATATATCTATTTTTCCCTAAGAGAAGGCCAGGTCTCTGCCCTGCATTGATTGGAGTTTATGATCACCGGGAAACAATAGAGGAAAATGGAAGTTTGGGAATGAAAATGAAGAATGTGTAAACCTTGCGAAGCTGGAAATGGCGAGATATTCCTGCACGCCGAAAACAAGGGCAAATCTGTCCCGTATTCTCTCACACACAAAAAACCACCCTGCTCCTTTGTCTTAAGAACAATGAGAAGTCTTGATCAAAGTAAATTCTCAACAGCGAATTCTTCTTTTTAATCCCAATAATTAATGTTAGGAAGTCGTGAGGGTGGCCTTCTCTCATCCTCCAACTGTGGCCCGTTGCCAAATCACTCGGGTCTTTGCCAGAAATCTCTCCAAACCGGGGGGGGGGGGGGATTTGCTTTTAAAACCTTAAAAGCTTTATTTTAATTCTTTCTCCCACTGTTATTTTTTAAAAAGGCCTTAGTTGCCTGGATGGCCCTATTAAATTTCTGCAAGGAGGACTTTCCCCGGCCGTCGAAATTTGGCGTTTCGGTCCTCCGAACTTTCTCCAGCTCGCAGAAAAGGAGAAAGTGGATTTTACACACACACATACACCAGACCCTCGAGGGTTGTAAACGCAAAATTTAGCTTTCGTTCTTGGAACGGATCTCGTCCGTCCCGCTCCGAAAAGACAGGAGGTGATTCTCTTTGGTAAGCACAAAAATGCTCCACTCCTGATACAGGAAGTTTAGATTTCCTCTTCAGGGTGAGAGGTTTGTCCAAGGAGTTTGGTGGGGTTTTACCACACACACCCCCAGGGAAAAAAGGGTGCGATGGGCCAGCACAGGCCAATAAAAACTCCTTGTGGCTGGTGGGACAGTCGCAACACAAATACACAAAGCTGAGAAGCTTATTTGGGGGGGGAACACAGTTTCTGCACACGTACAAAGCGGGGATCTGGAATGAAACCGAACACCGAGACAGTGCCGGGACAGAGCTACACCTGTGTCCGTCCGCAGCTGGGCCCTCTCTGGGGGATTTCGGCGAAAAGGCTCCCTTCCTTGACCCCCTCTGGGTGGCTCGGGGGGAGAGCACCTGCTTGGCATGTAGAAGGCCTGAGGTTCGATCTCTGGCGACTTCAGGTCGGGCCGGGAAAGGCCTCCGTTCGAAAGCGTTTATTCCCTTGAGGACTGGAGACTTGGTTCACTTTGAAGGAAGGGCAAGGGGCGGACACCTGCTTGGCATGTAGAAGGCACCGGGTTCCATCCCTGGCGACTTCAGGTCGGGCCGGGAAAAGGCCTCTGTTTGAAAGTGTTTATTCCCTTGAGGACTGGAGACTTGGTTTGTTTTGAAGGAAGGGCAAGGGGGAGGACACCTGCTTGGCATGCAGAAGGCACGAGGTTGGATTTCTGGCGACTTCAGGTAGGACTGGGAAAAGGCCTCCGTTCGAAAGCGTTTATTCCCTTGAGGACTGGAGACTTAGTTTGTTTCAAAGGAAGGGCAAGGGGGCGGACACCTGCTTGGCATACAGAAGGCTCTGGGTTCAGTCTCCAGGTCTTTTTTGCATGATGCTACCAGCCACTGCAGGTGTGTCTTGGTATAAGCAGTGCCTAAGTTCCCAGTAGTGATGTATGGAAGTGAGAGCTGGACCATCAAGAAGGCTGATCGCAAAAGAATTGATGCTTTTGGTGCTGGAGGAGACTCTGGAGAGTCCCATGGACTGCAAGAAGATCCAACCGATCCATTCTGAAGGAAATCAGCCCTGAGTGCTCACTGGAAGGACAGATCCTGAAGCTGAGGCTCCAAGACTTTGGCCACCTCATGAGAAGAGAAGACTCCCTGGAAAAGACCCTGATGTTGGGAAAGATGGAGGGCACAAGGAGAAGGGGACGACAGAGGACGAGATGGTGGGACAGAGTTCTCAAAGCTACCAGCATGAGTTTGACCCAACTGCGGGAGGCAGTGGAAGACAGGAGGGCCTGGCGTGCTCTGGTCCAGGGGGTCACAAAGAGGCGGACACGACTAAACGACTCAACAACAACAACAACGTTCCTGTTTATCCAGAACCAAGAGGACTAGAATCCTTATTTTTAAGGCCTTGAAGCAAGTGGAGGAAGGTCTGTTTTGCACGCAGAAGACGCCGGTTTCAATCCCTGTCGTCTCCAGATTCTTAGCTGAAAGAGCTGGGAAAGACAGGGCCTTTTCTGTGGTGGCTCCTGATTTGTGGAATGTATCCAGGTTGTATTTTGTGGGGGCTTTTATTGTAATTTTAGTGGGTGAGATCTGTGGATGAAGGGCAGTATACAAATAATAATAATAGTAATAATAACCCCTATGAAAAATCAATAATTTATGGCTTCCAGAAAGCTGAAATAACGACAGACTAAGAAACAGATTTAAACTTGCATCAAATTTAA